ACTGTATATACAGTATATATATATATATATATATATATGTATAAATGTATATATTAGGGGTGTAACGATACACGTATTCGTATTGAACCATTCGTTACGAGGCTTTCGGTTCGGTACGCATTACAAACCGAACGATTCGTTGGACTAATCCTATTACATTTGGAAAATAAAAGAGGATCTTGTATCGATGATAGCCAGAGATATTGTCAAAAACATCAATTATTGGCAATTTTAAGAGGACTTGGCATTTCCAATTAATGTAGGCCTGTTACATTCTTATTTTTATTAGGCATATTATTATAAGGCTATGAAGTTACTTTTATTATTAAATTAAAATTACAATTAATTTGCCCCGCAATAATTACCAAATAACTGACGTGCTGCGAGGATAACAAAAGATTAGGCTATTTACTCCTCAATTAAAATGTTTTTAAAAAAGGTCTTTACAATTCTATTCTATTCTATTCTATAAAAGTCTATTATACAATGAATTATAGGCCTATAATAAAAATATGAACACTGCAGTCATCAATAAAAATCAATGAAATAAAAAGCTTTTATTTCAAGCACTGACTTTGAGAAACAACCTGCTTAACACGAAATACGTTTCTTCTCTCTTTTTCCACTATGTACAGGCCACAATAGAAATATTAAGGGAATAAATTAAAATGGTTAGCTATATGCCAAGTGCATATATATATATATATAATATATATATATATTTTATTGCATTTTGTTGTTTATTATTACCTTTTCTAGATTATCCCTTCTTACTCCAAACATAGGCAACATCTCTATGGCCAAAGAGCTCTACCTTTGTCTCATCTGACCAAAGGACATGTTTCTAGTATACATAGTTTTTCTCCAGGTTGTCCTTCAAACTTCAGTGTAGCTTGGAGGTGTCTCTTCTTCAGAAGAGGTGTTTTTCTTGGTCTGCAATCTCGCAGTCCATTCCTGTCCGGACCTCTAGTGTGCGTCTTCGTTGAGATATCAATCCCAGACTTGACTAAATCATTCACCAGTGTCTTGGCAGTTGTTCTTGAGTCTTTAGGAACCTCTCTCAATAGTTTTCTTTACAAAGTATTTGAAATCTTTCGCTTCCTGCCTCTGTTCTCCACTGTGTGGGTCTCTTCAAACTTCTTGATAATACTTCTCACGGCTGATCTTGACACTTGAAAACGCTTTGATAAATGTGTATATACTTCTTCTCCTTTGTGAGCATTAACAATTCTTTTTCTCAAGTCTAAACAAATTTTTTTTGTCTTTGCCATGATGACAGTATTATTTTACTAGTTGTTTTGAAAGATAGTAATCCTCAGCGTACAGTGGAATTTAAAGGCTTAGAGGATTAATTAGGTTAATTAGGCAAGTTAGGTTAGTTAGGCAAGTCATTGAACAACAGTGGTTTGTTCCGTAGTCAATCAAACAGATCATTTCTTAAGTTAAGCTAATAATATTGACCTTAGCAATTTTTATATTTTTTAAATAATTATTTTATTCCAGGCAAATTGAAATAAATAAGGCTTTCTCCAGATGAAAAATATAATAAGAAATGCTGTGTTAAAATTTCCTTGCTCTGTTCACTCTCATCACTTGGAAAATATATGAAAACGAACTGAAATTTCATAGGGCGGATAATAATTTTGTCTTCAACTGTATATACAGTATATATATATATATATATATATATATATATATATATATATATATATAT